ATTCAGAACTTATCAGAAATGTTCATTTTTATTTTCAAACTTTTTGTGTCACAAACTACCTGATGATGGCGCACTTTCATTACTTTGATATTGCTTCTAGTTCTGAGACTTTCAAAATAGCCATTCTTAAGGGAGAGCTAGAAACTATACAACATTTTTATTCGGTAGATTATGTTCTTAAAGTATTTTCGTATTAACCAATCAAATTTATACTTTATTTAGATTCTCAGGCTATGCATGAGTAATTATTTATGTATGTAATGTAACAGGTAAATAATTTGATGCTATTTTCTCTATAAGAGGTTGTAAATAAAAGTATGTAGAAATTTACTATGCAGTCCAGCAACTGCATACAAGAACCTGTATATAGTTTTAGTCGGTCTTTTGGAATTCTATTTAAGTTCTAAATGACATTAGTTTTTATAAACTGAATCATGGCTTCAAACTGCTTGGAAGAAAGCATGAAATTACAAACACCCTTAAGTAATAAACAACTATTTGTGCCTACACATGACTTCGCTTGAACGTTTAAAGCGTGTTACATGCATTCAGGGACAACAGCGTCATGACGCTAAGAACCTCTGAATCTATTTGTGCACAGGTTGCTTCTGAAATGTACTGCTCGAAAGAACCGAATAGAAATGACTCTCTCTTCTGATCACTACTGCTCCTGACCCACTCAAACAGCGAGCGGTTCTGCCTTGCGCATGCGCAGTGCTGTGCTCCGTGCGGCGTTCTGCTGAAGGGATGAGGGTAGCGGATTCATGAACAACAGACTCGGATGCTGATGAGAGAAGCGCAGCTACACGGGGGACGCATGGTGTCAGAGAATGCCACGGCAGGAAAGGAGTTTCCATTCTTTAACTCTAAGGAAAGGCATCTTTGTCTTATTGACTAGGTTCTTTGTTTTTGACTTGAAGTCATACCTGCAGCTAATGCTGCATATCCTGACGTTGCAATGCCAGCGGGGCTGAATGCGCAAGGCAGCGGTATACCAATCTCAGATGCGATGGGTAAGTAACGTTACAAGGTCAATGGCATTCACTGCGCCCGCAGACCATTATGGTCACACGGAGGACAATTTACGCTTGTATTTACATTTAAATGCGATTAGCAATGTTTATTCATCGCAATTTTTAGAATATACTAGCACGAGAGCGAAATAAGCTTCCCGTGACCTACATTCCTGCATGTCTCAGATGTCCCCAACGAATGTCGATGTAACACTGATTGATATTGTTAATAAAAATACAAATTTTTTTGCACAGTCAAAATATTAGTTGTTTAGTGATGGAAACCCGTCATATTACATCACCTACATTTATCTGGGTTTCTGGGTTGTGGCTGTGCCTTTGCAGTTGTAGATACTATAGACATACAAGAGGTCAAATACACTGGTTGTTATGCTTTGCTTTGCTTTACCCCAAAACGAACGTGCCTAAAATGAAAGCACGAGAAAGCACGAGTAAACAAATGCTGCCTGAAGGAAGGGTGTGTTGTGCCGTGGCATCTTCCTACTCCACCGTCTTTTCCAGGATCATTTAAGAGGAGGAAAAGAAAGTCCATCATAGTAACAGTGATGCTCCTTATCGTCTCCATACTCATACTGGTCTTTGGTCTGGCCGCTACTACCAGAACGCAGAACATCACTGTCGGTGGCTACTATCCAGGAGTCATTGTAAGTGTGCTACTAATGTTCATAGTCGTGCGTAGAACAGACTGCGAACCATCCTCTTTGTCTATAAATGGGTTTGTGATGTAAAGTACTGCGGGGAAGGAAAAGCCTCACTTTTAATTATTTTCCGCTTGGCCCACCATTATGGTGACCGTTGGTCATTACCTCATTACTGTAAGATTGAACTGAGTGAACTCATCCATTCATTATTCAACAGCAAGTATCATTTTGTTCAACACTCTAGAAACATACAAGCTTAAGTAACAGTCCAGAACGTTTTGTACAAGTAACAGGTGTTTTCCTAGTATTCTGCGAGGATCGACTGTTTTGAAATACTATATGGTGGGGACATGGCCAGATTTCATATATAGCTCTTAACTCGGATGTTGATCACACCATAAAATAAACTATACTGCTTGGAGAAAGACAAAGGCTTTGTGGGAATGAGAGATTGTATGTTGGATCTTAAGTTTAAGACTTTGAAATAGGTTGATATTTGCAACTATCATGAGTTTCACCCTGTGATATTTTCAGCTCGGCTTCGGGTCCTTTCTGGGAATCATTGGCGCCCATTTGATAGAGAATAAGAGGCAGATGGTAAGGGGTCTTTTATCACACTGCTCATATCGGATTCTGTGCTTGTGCATTCCATTATCCAATATACATTTCTAACCAAATACTCGCACAAACAAACACATTTTCAAGAATCAACTGCCTGTTTTTAGTCATGTCATAATGGCAGAAATGGCTCACAGGTTTGAGCTCAAATAGCGGGGCATGTTGCAGCCCCTGTGATGAGATGCACCCAGAAATAGCTCAGTGTAAGGGGAGCGGGATGGATGTCCAGGCAGGAATTTTCGGAAGCCATTGCAGTGCAGAGGGAATAGGAGGTGCCACAATCCAAATAAAGAATGCATGAGGACGGCATAGCTGGCCAGATCATAGACACACAGGGACAGTTACTGCTGGGAGAGTGCAGGATACACACTCCACCCTTGGAGTCGAAGTGGTTAAAGCATGTAGAGTAGTGTCTGGAAGGCTGAGATTTTATAAATCTGAAAAAAAAACTGGAAATAAGTATTTTTTGAATAATGTAAAACAAGAAACAAAGTGTTATGATGCTTTTGCACTATTTCTAGGTCTCTAATCAAATAATCAAATTTGTAGAATTGAGCATGTCAAATCCTTTTGTACAGATGGTCAGATGTTCTTGTTTCCAGTGAAGCACAAGATGCTCTTTGGATCATTTTCAAATCATGCTTGCTGGAGAACATGATCATCAGGTTTCACTCAGTTCATGCAGCTTCAGTGCTGCTGTCATTATGGCAAAATGGAGACAAACCAAATATTAAGACATTCTGAAATGTATGATCATTTTTAAAATTCTTTTTACTCATTGTTACACCAATAACATAAGTTGTATACATTAAATAGAAATAATTTGAAATATAAATATTATGTATAATAATATATTTATAATAATTTTATTTATAAGATAAATATAAATAAAATATACATATATATTTTTTATTTTAATAAATTAAATCATCTAAAATATAATTGAAGTATCATTACAGTATTTAAATATTATATACACTACCATTCAAAAGTTTGGAGTCGGTAAGATGTTTTTGAAATAAGTATTTTATGCTCACCAAGGATGCATTTATTTGATCTAAAATACAGTAATATTGTGAAATATCATTATAATTTTCAGCATCATTGATCCAGTCTTTAGTGTCACATGATCTTTCAGAAATAATTCCAATATGCTGTTTTGGTGCTTAAAACATTTTGTATTATTATCAATGTTGAAAACAGTTGTGCTGTTAAAAGTTTTGTGTAAACTGTGATTCTTTTTTCCAGAATCCTTTTGTAACATTATAAATGTCTTTACTATTATTTTTGATCAATTTAATGCATCCTTGCTGAATAACAGTAATAACTTCTTTCAACAATTATCTTAGAAATATTAGTAGGGTATTAATATTATATTGTATTATTTATAATAAAAAATATTAAAATACATAAGATATAATTTGTTATTAAATTAGAAAAATGCAAAACAGAAGCATTTTCACTGGTCTCAACCTTTTTTTTTAGGAGAGAATTACTTATTATAAGATATGGATTGATTTAGATTAGATATATCAAGAATAACACTCAAAATGATATTATTTATTAATCAGATTTGGGCAGTTAAATGTATTCCATTTTCCCACTAGACATGCCTCTGCAAAGTGCCTTTGATTGCAGACAGAATGGAGTGACTGGTATCTAAATGGTTGGTTGTGAAATGGCAGGGAAATCAGCGAATTTAAGTGGCAATAAGGCAGAATCCATTCAGTCCAGATTATCTCCATATCCCATAATAGACACATCTACAAGATCTTAGACAAACCACTTCAATCTGTCTCTATAGGAATCGTACATAGTAGTAGTGCCCAGGTGTGAATGCACGTGCATAGAGCTACTACAGCAGGTGAATATGCTGACATAGCTGTTCTGCTTACAGCTGGTGGCCTCCATTGTCTTCATCAGCTTCGGTGTGGTGGCGGCCTTCTGTTGTGCTATAGTGGATGGCGTTTTTGCTGCAAGACATATAGTAAGTGCTTCAACGCCATGTTATTGTAAAATGCATTTCCTCAGAAAATCATTGCAGTTAAAGCTCTGTCATGGCATACTGCTGTTGTTGTTTCAAAGGACCTCAGACCACTATATGCTGGCCGATGTGAATATTACTCCAGTGGAACCAAATATTAAGACATTCTGAAATGTATGATCATTTTTAAAATTCTTTTTACTCATTGTTACACCAATAACATAAGTTGTATACATTAAATAGAAATAATTTGAAATATAAATATTATGTATAATAATATATTTATAATAATTTTATTTATAAGATAAATATAAATAAAATATACATATATATTTTTTATTTTAATAAATTAAATCATCTAAAATATAATTGAAGTATCATTACAGTATTTAAATATTATATACACTACCATTCAAAAGTTTGGAGTCGGTAAGATGTTTTTGAAATAAGTATTTTATGCTCACCAAGGATGCATTTATTTGATCTAAAATACAGTAATATTGTGAAATATCATTATAATTTTCAGCATCATTGATCCAGTCTTTAGTGTCACATGATCTTTCAGAAATAATTCCAATATGCTGTTTTGGTGCTTAAAACATTTTGTATTATTATCAATGTTGAAAACAGTTGTGCTGTTAAAAGTTTTGTGTAAACTGTGATTCTTTTTTCCAGAATCCTTTTGTAACATTATAAATGTCTTTACTATTATTTTTGATCAATTTAATGCATCCTTGCTGAATAACAGTAATAACTTCTTTCAACAATTATCTTAGAAATATTAGTAGGGTATTAATATTATATTGTATTATTTATAATAAAAAATATTAAAATACATAAGATATAATTTGTTATTAAATTAGAAAAATGCAAAACAGAAGCATTTTCACTGGTCTCAACCTTTTTTTTTAGGAGAGAATTACTTATTATAAGATATGGATTGATTTAGATTAGATATATCAAGAATAACACTCAAAATGATATTATTTATTAATCAGATTTGGGCAGTTAAATGTATTCCATTTTCCCACTAGACATGCCTCTGCAAAGTGCCTTTGATTGCAGACAGAATGGAGTGACTGGTATCTAAATGGTTGGTTGTGAAATGGCAGGGAAATCAGCGAATTTAAGTGGCAATAAGGCAGAATCCATTCAGTCCAGATTATCTCCATATCCCATAATAGACACATCTACAAGATCTTAGACAAACCACTTCAATCTGTCTCTATAGGAATCGTACATAGTAGTAGTGCCCAGGTGTGAATGCACGTGCATAGAGCTACTACAGCAGGTGAATATGCTGACATAGCTGTTCTGCTTACAGCTGGTGGCCTCCATTGTCTTCATCAGCTTCGGTGTGGTGGCGGCCTTCTGTTGTGCTATAGTGGATGGCGTTTTTGCTGCAAGACATATAGTAAGTGCTTCAACGCCATGTTATTGTAAAATGCATTTCCTCAGAAAATCATTGCAGTTAAAGCTCTGTCATGGCATACTGCTGTTGTTGTTTCAAAGGACCTCAGACCTCTATATGCTGGCCGATGTGAATATTACTCCAGTGGGACCGCGTTTGATTTAGATGTGAGTCGTCAGCCTGAGAGAAGCGCTCTTGCCAAATTACAAGCCTCTAAATATAAGGGTTTTGTTACTAGTATATCAAAACACATCTGTCTTTCAGGTCCACTGTCAAACCGCATCTCGGGTCTCCTGTAACCTGCGTGTGAAGAGCAACACCTGCTACTGCTGTGACCTTTACAACTGTGGCAAGTAAGTGTGTGAGCGAGTCCCATTTGGATACATCCCTCCTAGGATACCCTCTGCAAACTGGCAATCTGAGAGAGAAAAACAACAACAACTATGCTATCTTTGTTTTACCTTGGTTAAGTTCTGGTTTATATTTGCTTGTATGGTGTGTGCTTCTATCCCTGAAATTCAGCTCTGTTCGAAAGAACTTTGTGTTTATTTATGTTTCAGAGAGCATCCTCTTATGGGACTTCAGAATAAAGATGTTTTGAAAAAATTTAGGAAATCCTCCATGGTTTGGAAGTAGGTCTATCCACTTTTAGCCCCTCAATGACATTGACAGCCCATTATTTGTTGTTGTTAAAATCTTGAGTGTGGCTGTGTACAGTCGCTGTACTTTGCGTACAGTTACTTTGATCATGAAGTGAAAGAAACTTAAGATTATCTGGTTCCTGTTTCACAGGTGAGGAGTGACAGCAATAATTTAGGTTAAAAGTAAAGAGTCTTTGATGACAGTGAGCTTAAATAAGGAGACTGGATATATTTATCCATTTCATGCTCTTCTTAAGAGTGATGTGCACTGGTATGCAGATGGTTTTGTTCTTTTCTTTTGCATGAATCGCTGGTCTGGTCACGCTTTACCTCTTTTGTTGCTCTGCCTGTCACCTATATGTCTTTTTTTTTTATGAGTCTCTTGCGATAATACATTTCTCTCCTCATGATCTCAGTCGAGTGGAACTGCGAGGAGGGTACCATGAGTACACAGAGGTGCGGAGCTGTCAGGACGTTGTGCATCTTTACCACCTGCTGTGGTCTGCTACTATCCTCAACATTGTTGCTCTGTTTCTGGGCATCATCACCGCCGCGGTGCTGGGGGGCTTCAAGGACATGGTGAGATTTAAATGCAGTGCAAACAACTTATATAGATGTATTTTGAATGATTTCTGAGAACCTGTGACATTTATTGGACCTTTTTTATTAAGATGCCTACAGCAGCACCAGATTCCTGTGAGCCAGAACCTATCCCTATTCCTCCGCCCCAAGAGACTCCGGGACCCACAACATCCAACAACACTTTTTACAACACTGCCCCCTGCTTACCTCCATACACTGCCTATGACCTTCGGGTAATCGCATTCACTTTGAGCTGTCAACCCACTTTGTGTTGCATGCTTTAGTGGGCATTTATAAGTCACGCTGATACAGACTTTTTCTACAATGCTTGTTCGATGAGATTAAAATACTAGTCTCAGCCTCAGACGTCACGCCCACGGACCATTGGCTGAATGTCTGATGCATACGGCACACAAAATTGGAAACACTTGGGGAGTTTTGAAAGTCGTCATCGGATTGGTTGAATTATACAAGATTTCCGGGAGACGTGTCGCATTCTTTAACGTTCCGCCTGGAAACAAATATGCCGTGACGCCAAAGCCCCTCATGTTGGAAGAAAGCCGTCGTGTTTACAACTGTGATAATGAGCGCTTATCAGGATCAACTAAACGCTGGATTTGTAAAAGTATGTGAAATACTTCAAATTCGCGGCATAGAATCTTTAAAATACGTCCAAGAGTTTTACACACGGCATGTTATTGTGGGGACATTTCCACACCCCTAAACATGACGTGGCACAAACCGAAACGTGATTGGTTGTTTTACCTTTCAGTCATATGGCCTCTTGGGTGGGCCTTTACCATTCAAAGCGACCAAGGTTCCCAGACCTTCTGCCGTCAAGTCAGAAGGTCTGGCTATGCGAGACTATGAAAATACTAACTGAATAATATAATATAACATATATACACTTTTTATGTTGTAAAATATATATATAATAATATATGAAATGTACATATAGAATTATTACTACTATACTATGATACAGTAATATATTTATATTGTATATTTCTATCAATTTTTAATTTTTTAATTACGCATGTCAATTAACGTTAGCTTAATGCAATCAATTATTTGTAAAAATGCATGCAAGTAAGAAGTAAGCACAAAAAGATCATTACATCTTTCAATTAATGTTAAAGGGGTCATATGACGTTGTTAAAAAAGAACATTATTTTGTGTATTTGGTGTAATGAAATGTGTTTATGCAGTTTAAGGTAAAAAAAACACATTATTTTCCACATAATGTACATTATTGTTTCTCCTCTATGCCCCGCCTTTCTGAAACGCATCGATTTTTACAAAGCTCATCGGTCTAAAAATGCGAGGTGTGCTGTGATTGGCCAGCTATCCAGTGCATTGTGATTGGCCGAATACCTCAAGCGTGTGACGGAAATGTTACGCCCCTTACCATACTGTGATGCCGTGTCCCGGAGCGACGAGACAAAACCAATAAAACCCATTATAAACGAGGCATTTGTTGCATCCAGTGGGGACATAATTACTGATTATAATTACTTATACTGTCTTTTTACGCGTTGCGTTGCATCGCGCCGCGTAAACATAAAACCATGTCTGCATTTGTGATCGGAGAAATGACAAACAACAAGCGCTACTCTACACTGCTCAAAACTCGCGTTTGAATCATCAGTGGCAAATCCTTTAAATATGAAAATGTACTTACAGGCTGTGAGTCAGAATTATTTGTCAGTATCATAGACTGTGGTCAGCATGCGCGCCGAAGGGGAAACGGGAACTGAATTCACCAGAACACTGGCATTGTAGGCTACTCTCCCAGGAAACAGTCCTCGTCCTCCGTAAAATGCATTGCACACATCTGAATATTTGGTTTGAACTGTTCTGGAACAGTGTTGTAAATACAACTTAACCACTGATTTCTAGTTGTGTCCTCTTTTGGAAGAGCAAACAAAGTAGTTTAACTTTCACAACGAAACACACAGCGTCTCCACGACATGGCGGCGGTGGCAACAACAATACTACAGCGAGAATCAAAGTTACGCCTTCTTTCTTTGCATGAACATTTGGGCGGCGTTATGCAAATCTTCCCACACAGTGATGTAGACATGTGGGGGCGTGTCTAAACGAGGCATTTTGCCTTGTAAGTTTAATAAGTTTAAGCTTTTTTTAATTAATTTTATTTCAGTGAACATTTATTTTATTTCAAATAACAATTTTTTGATGGTTTTAGTTTTAGTTCAAAAGAATAACCCTAAATTAGAGCATTAGAGATTATACTTTATATGTTTTGATGGTGTATGATATGTGTGGTAATGTGTCTTCACAGGGTGCCAGCATGTTTCCTGACGCTTCAGGCCTGTCTGATGACTCCCAGTCTGGAGCCAGTCTCATGTGGCCAAATATGATCCCGCCTCGTTATTCTCCTCCTTATTACCCACCTGATGAGAAGCCCCCGCCATACAGCCCCTAAGGGACCAGTCTGAGGAAGACATTTTCCTGTCAAGAGAGAACTGGCGTTGGCATTTTTGTATATAAGTAAACCACATCAGTGAACAATCATCGTTCTGAATGAACAACCTTTGCAGAGGAGGCTCACCTGTGCGGCGGGTTAAGTACAGAGAGACTACAGCATTAACCACAGTCACTCATCACCATTCAGCAGATGTAATATGCAACATTAAACCTTGACAAGATTCTCTCAAGTCAAACCCGATGTGTAAAATATTCACATTATGTAGCCTCAATCCAAGAGGACTATACCTAATAACAACTAGCCTGACTGTGAGATCAAGACTGTTGACAGATATGCCTTAAAATGTGTCCGCTTCCAGTACAGCTCCACCTGGCTCGCCTCCTTTTCCTGTTATAGGTAACGTCTGTGGGTCTCCCACTTGAGATTCCTCTGCATAACTCCATAATGTGAACTTCTCCCTTCCAAAGTGGCACAAAGTGTTTTGCGTTGCCTCTGCTCTCTCTGCACGAGGGTGAGTCTCTTATCTAGCAATTGATTTGCACTTTATTGTCTTCAGAATTGACTGTATTCACACAGTTCTAGATAATTACTTGAGTTATTTTTAACTGTTTCGGGCAGCTAGATTGCAAAGAACTGTACATATATTTAGGCTGAATCTTACTTTTTGTTCTGAGTGCTTCATTAGGATCTATGATCTAACCTGTAATTTGTGGTGTTTCTTCTGCATTATGTCAAGCACACAATCATGTCACAAATTCGAATAATCTTTTGTGACAAAAATATCCTTTGCTTGATTTATGCAAAGTAATAAGCTCTTACATAGTGGTATGAAGAATGAGAGGACTTTCAAAACCTATACACCTCACATTCGTCTGCCGTTCTGTTGCCGTTGTTTCTGTCAAAAAATGACAGGATTTAAAGAATGTAAAAAGGAGGCTTAGCTTTATAAGTAACCATTATATAAACTTACACAAATTTAAACACTTTAATTGTTCACTACGTAATAACAGGAAGTCCCTCCACATTGCAAATATATCAGCGTGTGTGCAATGCTGTATATGTTGTACATATACTGAACAATCAAACTGCCTTCTCATAACACAACACAATTGGGTCTTAAGACTTATAGTGTTTTCCTTTTCGTCTGTTTGCGTGTTCACTGCGAGTGTCATGTCTATACACTTACTTCATTTGCTTGATTTATATCAAGAACATTGTCCTTTACTGATGTGAGTAGAGCTATTAATACGATGATTTTATTACTTCCTGGTGGTTGTAGTACAGTCACATGCTATAAAGAAAACTCATAAATTGGATCTTTGCCTCTGTTGTTAATTTTTGACCACATTAATGTCACATGAAAGCATTTGTTTACATTTGATGTTAAAATCTTAAAATTAAAGTCTTAATAGTTCAGCGCAGTATTAAATATAAACTGTATAGCTGGCATAGATTTTTTGCTTCATTATCACACGTGCATTTCCAAATATGTCCACTGGCATTTGACCATTGAATCCATTTTATCCCTCATCATGTGAAACCTTACAGATTACATTCATGTATCAGTGCATTATAATATGTTCACTGACAAGATCCACTCTGATATAGAGCCAGAAATGTTCATATTGACTGGTGGTTATCATACTGAAAAATACTAATCACTTTCATGATGCTCTTGGAAATAAAAGAAATACATGTGTACTTTCTTCAAAATTTTATTTCATTCTATATCACACTAAGACCTAATAATAAATAGGTTCCATAAGAGAAGAAACTGTTAAAATGAAGGTCTTATATCTATCATGTACATGGTTATGGTGTTAAAGCGCTAGTTCTGACTGAAGGAATCTCAATGTATTCACAGATTCTTCTCACAGCCCACAAAGCTAAAATAATTAATAAAACTATGCTGAAAAAATAATAAAAAAAAATGATAAATGTACAAAATATTCAACCGTAAAGGAGAGGTCCTCTGTATTACTAACATGTTCCTTTGATTACCCTGACAATTCAGTATCTTGTTTCTCTAGACATGAGCGGAGGAGGGATGAATATTTCTCTTCTAAACTATAATTTAGAAGTTACTATATCAGGATATATGGCCAGCATATAAATAAACAACCTCAAAACATAATTACTGGACAGATGACATAAACATTTCACATTTTTACTCCATCGATCTTAAAACCTGCTGACAATCAAAAACTATAAATACAAACATTCAAACTGTTTCTTACCGCAGGACCGAAACCTGCCATGAAATCTAGTGCCAAACAATCATTAATAACTACCATAAGAAGCTGACAAGAAAAATAAAACAACGTTAGCGTCTCTTTCAAATGAAACTTTGAAAATGAAAGGCATAATTTAGTATGCTGACTCCGAAGTTACATTACATTTGATTTTGGACTTGGGATTTATGTAACACTCTCAAAATGATATAATTGTAAAAAATAACTGTAACAAACAGCCTGTACTTGATCCCTACTAATTACATCCAACAGGGTTGTAATGTCTGGAACATAAACGGGAATAGAAAATATTAAGGATCAGCTCTACACAGGTCTAATGTAGCTGTACATAAAATATGTATTATCTACTTAGTCATATTATCTGACGAAGCATTATTACAATTCAGTAATGGACTGTGAAACTGAACTGTAAACCAACACTAATACATTTTCTAAATATACATTAAAGCACCTTAAAACAACTTTCATGAGTTGATGGATACTGAAATTGATTTTTCAATCAAATGGTCCAGAGAACCACGACCACCCGCTCCTCAAATTAAAACACAAACAAATGAACAGGGCACCTGAGCCAGAGCAGTGCACAAGCATGCTCAGTATGTCTCTGGTATAACAAACTCAAATTCATTCCTGGTTTCGGCATTTATTTGGTCGATAGGCCGTGGAGGTGGACCCGGTCGAACGTGAGCCACCGGTCTGTTTTGTGCTTCGGATTCTACAAAGATGTCGTCCCAGGTCAGTGCTTTGCTTTGGCTAGCTGGAAGTGGCTGGTTGGTAAAGTGCTCTTTGTCTGGGTTTACATGTTGGACAGTCCCATCTTCACCGATGACCGGATTCCCTCCCGGCTCTTCGGACACGAAGGAATATGGTTTGAACTGCAACGTTTTACACGGCAGCAGCCGATACAAGTTGTTGCACGAGTCATCTTTCTCTTTCCTTCCCGACGGGTCTTGGTTGTGCGTTTGCTTGCAGTGGGTGGACAAAATCTGATAATTGAGAAACGTTTCATTGCACAGTAAACACTGGTACCGTCTTTCGCCCGTGTGAGTGATTTCATGTTTGGTTCTGTACTCGGCCAGGGCGAAAACCTTGCTGCAGTAATGGCACGGATACTTCCGTTCCCACGAGTGAGTGTTAAAGTGCCGTCTGAGGCTCGTCAGGCACACATAGGGACGCTTGCACACAATGCACACGTAAAAGGTCTTTCCATCCATGATAAGTTCATAGTGATCCTCCTGCTCCAGCTTTGAATTTTTCTTTCCTTGAGGTGAGTGTATGGTCACACTGGGAACACTGTGTGGGATTTGTGATTTCCTACCAGGAGCCGATCCCTCTACAGGATCCTCTTTTACTGGAACAATGTCGTAGGTGTTTTCACCAATGTTGGCATACACTTTACAACCAGGCGATAGCGAATCGATTTCCGAGGCTTTGTCTAATGTTATCGTCTTTTTCCCCAACACTGACGGGGCCAAGTTTATTGCTGGTACTGGTCCGTTATTGGTGCTATATGTCGGCCTTACATCCGACAGTCTGATTTTTCCAGGCTGATCAGGCGAGTGCTCTAGAAGGACCTTTTTCTTATGGACTCCGAGCACTTCGTTGTTATCTAGAGGCAGCGAGGTGCTGTGAGGATCTGAAGGAAGGCTGTTCACGTCAGCTGGGGTGGTGGGTTCGCTGTTTGAGTTCGCTCTTACTGGAGAAGTGAGAACACTGCTACTGGCTTCTGGGTTCGAGAGGAGCACAACGTCTGGCTGGGGCTCAAGGTTATTTTGGAGTGACGTGTCTCTTTCAGAAGAAAGCTGGTTGTTTCTCTCTTGGGCTGTTGAATCCTTAGAGGCAATTCCTTCCGCATTTGTGACTTTTTGTTTTTTAGCCTCTGGCCCTCCTGCTTTGTCATTACCATCTGATATCTTGGTCTTTTGAGCTTGAGGAGCCTCTGTTTTTGAGACGAAAAGAACATCATCGCTGTCCGAGTCCACTTCCTTTTCCGTATTACCGCACGCCATGTTGAATTCTTCAGCAGACAGTGAGAACGTCTCAGTAATGATTGGCATATTCTCACCTCCGGTCTCATTCTTCTCAGAGGAGCTGATGCTGTTGTTGTCACTTTCTTTGGACAGGCCCGGTAATCCTTTGACTTGGGCAAGCGGCGTTCCTAAATTGGCTATGAACGTCACGCCCAAAGCCTGACCGGCGCTGATGAGATCCTCAAGTCTGTCTGATCGAACTCTGTAGATTTTAGACGTGTATATGTAATTCAAGATCACATCGAATATGTCTGCCTTGATGAAGTTCAGCTCTATAACATGTCCAGCGACTGAGAAAAGTTGATGGAAATAGGTACTGGAGGCAGACAGCACGCATTTGTGCGCCTTGAACTTGCGGTCTTGCACAATTATGGTGACATCACATAATAAACCGCTGTGTCGCTCATCATTGATGGACCTCAACAGTGATGCTGGGTACTGAGTGTCTGCTGCAGATATTAGCTTTAGTTTCGACATACCTGTGGGGAAAGGGGAATATTAAAGTTTAATATACTTTAACAGTTTGAACATATTAGTATTAAGAACAAATGAAATCTATTAAAAACCGTGTTAAAATGCAATTAACACAACCCTATACAAAGCTTTCTACATTGTGCTTTCATTTCTGCAAGATATAGTCTCACAAACACGTTTTAGCTGTCTATCAATGACAAATCAAATTTTCATGTCATATTTTTCTCTCAATTTGTTATGTCGATCTAAACATTACTTAAAAGTTGAATACAACTTTATTGTTTCTAAATTAAAAGCAACAGAATGTGGATATACACGAGAATCGCAGCCAGGCTAACGTTAGCTGGCTAATTGTACAGCAACAAAAGCCAAGCATAAAAACATATGCTTCTTGAAAAGTGACATAAAACTAATGCATTTGACTAGTTTGACGTGAGCAAACGAAATACTATTCCTGCGAGGCCACAGCTTTTTGATGTTAGCACTCAGAACCGGTAGGACCCCGGTGTGCAGCGGTCAGCGTGAAAACAAAAACAAACGGCTCAATTCAACTCTCCTTCCTGGTTTGCCGGCAGCGCGAGGCCTATCTTGACTCTACGATGCACAGCAACGCGTATGTGGTTAAATAAGGTGAATTCAAGTTTTAATCTCCCACATTCTTGTAAATGAATTTCCAAAATCCTATACCTGCAGAACGACCCGTTAGAATCCACGATTCCCTTTGCTGAGAAACAATAATGACAGCGATAACGTGTGTCGGTTGCCGTGGACAACACAACGGAGCTCGAGTTCCTTCCTGTCTGAGACGAGCGAGTCTCTCCTCCAGCAGCCGACAGGAGTCTGCCACAACAGACGTGTGATGAACGGTAATGAGACAGAACGATTTTATCTTAAACTTTACTTGTATTTGCACACATATGATATGAATAGGCATATAGAAAACAAATGCGTAATGCAATAATACACAGGGTTTGTTAAGTACAAATTTGGGCAAATTACATACATTTGAAAAGCTTTAGGCGTTTTACATTGTTGTTTCAGTTTTTTCCCATATTAGAAAAAGTGTCCATATCATTTTTCAAATCAGTATAATATAAGAAGCTTTTATGGTATTTTGTAAATAAAATAACTAAAGAAATATAGTTTCAGTTTTGAGTCTGTAGAAATGTGCTATATAAATAAACATTATTATTATTATTATTATTAAGATGTAGAAGAAGAATTACAACGTGCTTTATTGGCAGGACAAGACTGGTCATAGCCATGTCGTAGACTGTATAAATGTGTTATTACAGTGTTATCAGTCTCATATATACATCTCAGCAGTGTTGGGGAAAGTTACTTGAAACAAGTAATCTGATTACGTAACTCGCGTTACTTGTAATGCGTTACCCCCAACACTGCATCTCAGTAACTATCAGGTTTTCAAAAGTCCAAATTACAAATGTGTATTCTCTCTAGCAGTGGTTTTGTGTTAGTTTCAAACACCTTTTGTGAATCCTGTATTCAAACAAAATTTCCCAGTAAACACAATAATACATTGATTATCTGTTTATATATAAAGCCACATTGGATTATTTGCCATTTTATCTCTGTTGTTTTATTCAAAGGATTTCGTCTGGCAATTACTCATTACATTCTCAATGAAATTATAATCTTTGTGTGCCCCTTGTCAGAACTGAGCTTGGTAAAACCTCCTTTAAAATATGCCTCCACTTCAGACTGGAATCTCCAAAAGGAGGTGAAGTTACAAAACTTGGTGTCTTATAATTATTTTAGGTTTTTACTATGTAATCTAGAGAGCGAGTTAAGGGTGTGTAATTGTTTTTAATTGGTTATATGTTGGGTTTTGTATTGTATGTTGTAACTATGT